CACAGATGCGTAAGGAGAAAATACCGCATCAGGCGCCATTCGCCATTCAGGCTGCGCAACTGTTGGGAAGGGCGATCGGTGCGGGCCTCTTCGCTATTACGCCAGCTGGCGAAAGGGGGATGTGCTGCAAGGCGATTAAGTTGGGTAACGCCAGGGTTTTCCCAGTCACGACGTTGTAAAACGACGGCCAGTGCCAAGCTTGCATGCCTGCAGGTCGACTCTAGAGGATCCCCGGAGCAATGGTTCGAGCGACAAATTGAAAAAAATCCAAATTTTCTGCTTGGTGGACCAGGTAGTTAGTAATTTTTTCCAGAATAAAATAGTCACTTTCAGGGAAAATCGTCGAAATCGACGAAAGTCACATGTATAAAGCGAAATACAACCGTGGGCACATGCTAAGAAGAAAATCTATCTGGATATTTGGCATGACTGAACGTCACACAAATAAAGTGAGTGACTCTTGATATAACGTTCTTAGAAGCTATACTTATTCAACAATGTATTATTGATCATATAATTTCTTTGAAAAACACTCATAAAATATATTATTGTGTTTAAATCACTTCCAGAGCTCATAGTTTTTTACATGGGCAAGATGGAAAACATCGCTTCATTGGTATTTAATTTGTTTTTTAAGGTGGCAATGTTCCGCGTGAAGCAACGAGATGCAGCAACTCTACTCCCGATCATTAGAGCACATGTCAAACCAGGTAAGAAAAAAAAATACATCCTGCTCAGCTCAATATTGTCTACTTCAGGCTCTATGATTGTATCCGATGGTTGGGCCGCCTACGGAGGCATCAGAACCCTCCAGAGAGCGTTTACACACAGATGGGTCAATCACAAAGTAAACTTTGTTGACCCCAGCGATCGACGAGTTCACACTCAGTCTATTGAAGCCACATGGGGTGCTTTCAAACGGGAACTCAAAGCGAAATATGGCGTCCCAGAAGATCAACTCGACGGATACATGTCGACATACATGTTTAGACGATACTTCGGAAGAAAAAAACTTCTGAACCACCTTCTGATCGAGATG